TGGAACAGGCTGCCCAGGGAGGGGGTGGAGTCCCCATCCCTGGCTGTGTTTAAGGGCCGTTTAGATGGGGTACTGAGGGACATGGTGTAGGGGAGGACTTTGTAGAGTAGGGGAGATGGTTGGACTCGATGATCCCAAGGGTCTCTTCCAACCTCAGTGATTCTATGATTCTATGGAGCCAGGCTCTTTTCAGTGGTGCCCAGTGCCAGGACCAGAGGCCGTGGGCACACACAGAAACTCCAGAGGCTCTGTCTGAACCGAAGGAAACACTTTTTCACTGTGAGGATGACAAAGCACTGGCACAGGATGCCCAGGGAGGTTGTAGTGTCTCCATCCTTGGAGATATTCAAAAGCCATCCTCACCCCTGGCTCTGGGTGGCCCTGCTTGAGCAGGGGGCTGGACAGGATGACCTCCAGCCATCCCTTCCCCTTCTGGGATGCTGAAATCAGCTCTGCTTAACTTTGGATTTGAAGCTGGTAGAAAATTACTTCCCTGTAGCAGCAAGAGGTGTCACAGCTCTTTCTGTGTGAGCTCACCAGGGTGACACAACCCTTAGTTGCTCTTATAATAACCCAGTAGTGCTCTTGGAGAGCTGGAGGTAGAGGCACAGATTTGCTGTCAGGCTGGGACTTGGGGAACTGGGTAGTGTGAGTACAGAGTTACCCAGTGCACTCCATTTTTCCTCCCACCAGTAAAAACACAGTGGCTGCTACACTGCCACCAGGACAAAGCAGCCCTTGAGGTTGAAGGTTGTGGCTGGTAGCGCTCAACTCTTGCTCACAGATACCCATGAGCTTATTTAAGTGAGGTTTGTAACAGCTGTTGAGTCACACAGCGTGACAGGGAGTTTGTTACAAGTGAGGCTTGTAACAGCTGTTGAGTCACACAGCGTGACAGGGAGTAAATGAGCGCAGGTATTAAAAGTAATTTTAGGTCATTTTCTCCAAGTCTGCCCAGTTGATTGTTAATGGAAGTTAGAGGCTCCTCAAGAGCCACTATCAGTTAAACTGTCACTAATGGGACACGTTCTCTGTCAGCCTCACTAATTCTAACACGCTGTTTTGACACAAGGGCAAGAAGGAAATAGAGTCAGCTGTTCACGGTGACCCATTGGACCTTATTCTGGCAGCAACAAATGCTGAAATGACACTATTGGTTTCTTTTATCATAATCTTCTAAGAATTTCAGAATTAACATTTCCAGATGTTACCTCTGCTTATTTATGATTGCTTCTGTGCCGTGAAGTCAAACCTTCACTTTAGGTTGGCAGGACAGGACCGAGAGCAACACCAAATTGCTGTACTCAAAGCAGCTTGCCTCAAGAAAAGCAAAATCTTTGCGAAATCTTAGTAAACCTTTGCAAATTGATTCCTCACAGTGTTCGGTGTTAGGAGTCAGCGCTGCAATGTGGTGGTTTCAGCAAGGCCTCTCTATCTTGCCCGTGGCTTTGGTGGTTTGGTCGGCGGCGTCCTTCGTGTTTTCGTACATTACGGCCATCGTCCTACGCCACGTCGACCCTTTGGTGCCCTACATCAGGTCAGTAACGCTCAGACGGTATTGAACTCACCTCACTCCTGCAAATTCTTCCCCAACTCCAAACTTTAGAACAGCAATTCTTACCTAACAGCTCCAGTTCTAAAGCCCACCACGGTATTGAATTGGCCTCACTCCTGCAAATTCTTCCCCAACTCCGAACTTTAAACAGCAATTCTTAGCTAACAGCTCCAGTTCTAAAGTTACTACCTGTTTATTTGTGTTATTTGTGTGTAACGCTATTTAAAGCTGTTTATTCTTGTGCAAAAGTCTAACCTTTAAGCTGTGGCTCTGTGAGCTGTTTATTCTTGTGCGAAAGTCTAACCTTTAAGCTGTGGCTCTGTGAACGTATCCTTAAAATGATGATGGACAAGAAGGCTGGGGGTGTTCTCCAACCCTCTGTTCAGAGTAAAGCATCTTGCTATCATCAGGTTTGGTTGTACCAGTAAATCCATGCTATAATCTCTGTTCCCAGCTGCCTTGCATCCAGTCTGTACAGTAGTTTTTGTCTTTGACCTTAATTTTGGTCTTTCAGTTTTCCAGTTTCTTCATTTTTCCAGCTTTAATGCTCTTTATTCACCGTTTATGGACTCAAGATCAATATAAAAGAATAGTTATGCTATCTAGGGATAGCTTATCTTTACCATGCTTATTTCTACAGCTCTAGAAACTAGCACAGTATAGTTTGAGTAATGAAAAATTCAGTAAAAAGTATCTAGGAGGGTTTTTACAAATCTGTTTTTTATGCTTCCTTTGTAGACTGATATAAGTGAAGTTGTGTTGCACATATTTTTAATATAGATAAATACGTATCACTCTATCTCTTCCAGTGACACAGGGACAATACCACCTGAAAGATGCTTATTTGGGATCATGTTAAATATTTCCACTTTCTTGGGTGAGTACAGAAAGCTGTCCTTGGTGAACTGCAGGCAGTTCTGGAATGCACATGGCTTTAAACAATTTCATTTCCTTATTCCAATCATTAGGCAGCCCATAATTCTCAGTCAAAAACTAAATTCTAAGCAATCAATCTTAATTCTCTTCAGCAGTTCAGAGGAAAGGGTGTGTCAGGGGTGTTATCCACAAAGCCAGCGTGACACTTGCAGGTTCCAGAAGGCCAAAAATGCATTTAAAAAAACCCAACAGAATAGTAAAAAGGAATAGAAATGCAAATTCAAGGCATTACTTGTGCTGCAGTTATGGAGAGGGGAAAAACAACCCTTTCAAATGAAAGAGATCTGAAAAATCTAGTAAGTTGACTTGTTTACCATGATATTATTTCAGTTTTGACCTCCAGATTCTCAGCTTTCCTATTTCACTGTACCATAAGACAGGTTTTTTTTTTATTTTAATTAGTTGCCTCTATCACTCAGCATCTTCCCAGTTAACACAGGACACTCTGCTCGTCAACTGAAAATCTTACTGCATTTGGGTTCTTGGTTAACAGGTGTGGCCACCATGTATGTCCGGTACAAACAAGTTTACGCTTTGAATCCAGAAAAAGCCAAGATCCTCAAGCTTAATAAGATTGGCCTCACGCTGGGATTGATGAGCTGTTTTGGACTTTGCATTATTGCAAATTTCCAGGTTTGTGCTTTGCTTGCAATGTTCTGGAGCTGCCCAGAGTTGTGTGTTTGTTTGTTTACTGATAAAATGGGGGCTTTACTGAAATCAAAACTTCTTAGGGCAAACCTGTTTTGTCGGTTTGTTTTCCTGACAGGCAAACCCGTCAGATCCCCTACAGAAAACCGTTAAAAAAAATAATTTTTGATTTAGAATTTCTTACTCATTTCTTATTTGCTTTATCCACTGGGACTTGGGAGCAGCCATTCATGAAATTCCAAAACATAAAGAAACCCGTAAGTTTTGCAGAAGCAAACTCGGATCTCCATATAGATCTGAAAGCCTTAGCTCCAGGTGAAAAGACCACAACTGTGTTTTATTTTGACTCAGGAGAATCAAGTGTCAAATAGTCAAAAATTGTTAGAACTGTCAAATAGTCAAAAATTGTTAGAACTAAGTAAAGCCAACAAAAACACCCAACCCCAGAAGTCGTCCAGCTCTGAAAAATCTACCTTTTTAGTTATATTTCCCAAATATACCTATATTTTATATATATGTACACAATAACCTGCCCAATTCTTGAAAATACCGCGGTGTCAAACAACTTTTGCATTTCTCCCTCCCTGTGTCTATTTTTTTTCCCCTCCTCAATACTTTGCATTTCCAAAAATCTGATGGTATTCTCACATATCGCCCCATCAGCAGGACCACATTCCCCATCCTTGGCTGTTAGGGACAAGCCAGGGGCACAGTTGCCAGCCTCGTCGTATTAATTTCCTGCCGGATTTTGGGGGATCTGCAGAGGTGCCCTCAGCCACCAGAGGCTGCAGCCGCACCTCGGTCTCCTGGATTAGGGCCAGGGAAAAGCAAAGAGGAAAAAGCTCCTGGAAAGCTCCACCTTTTTTTTCCCTTCTCCTTTCTCTAGCACAACTCTCCGAGTGCTTCAGCGGTCGCTGGCTCAGCACGTTCATTTTGGGTTTGGTTTTGGGGTTTTTTTGGAGGCCTCAATCTATTTTTTTTTTTAATAGAGCCCCAGCTCTACCCAGAGGTCGCAGCCTCCCCTGCCACCCCCACCACGCAGAAACCCCTGGGCTGTGTTCAGCTCCACAGTTTCCCTCCACTGCTGGCCAGGAGCGGGTATGTCTGCTTTCTGCAGATTTCAAGATAATCAAATTACAGAAGGCACATGCTAATTAGTTGACCAGTTTGTGTAACATTTCATCTTGATAAAGGCAAAAATTGGAAGTGCTGTATCTGCACGTCCTGGTGGTGCTGAGGACTGGTTAAGGGCCACCCCAGAGACAATAGGAGCTAAAGCCCCCTGGAATCCACTAATTACTGAAGACAACTGAAGTGTGACAATGTCTGAAGATGAACAAAGGGGATTTGGGAAGAGCTGTCATCGTGGAGAGCTCCAGCCAGCTCCGACTGCGGGGCACCACAACAACAGCGACCCCTCATCCTCGGGGGAGCTTTAATTCCTGCTGTTCAGCCAGTCCTATCGCTTTATTCCAGCTGTGGCTAGTGATTTCCTCTCGTATTGGGCACAGATTTCTCTCTGGTGACACCCCATCACTGAAAAGCACACAATTTTGGAGCACGTGCCTTTGCAACTCGGTTATTCACTATTTCAATATAAATTCCTCCCTCTTATACCGAGGATGCAGCACTTCAGGTTCATTTGCGCACATGGAGATTGTGAGGAAAGGCTCTCTCCAGTTCCTGATCTTAATAATTCCTCAGTAAAATATGCAGCCAGCCTCCTGGTTCATTTGCGCACATGGAGATTGTGAGGAAAGGCTCTCTCCAGTTCCTGATCTTAATAATTCCTCAGTAAAATATGCAGCCAGCCTCCTGCTTCAGGGCATAAGAGATGAGGCGTGCGATTGGAGAGCGGGGAGGCTGCCAGGCCCCACGTTGCTCAACGGGCAAGATAACACCTTTTGGTGTCTGTCTGTGGGGACTGTGTCTGGCCAGGGACCAGAGGAGAGGAACGAAGACAACGTGACTTTTCAGGGCATAAATTTTGAGTTGGGTTGTTTTTCTTGGAATAACTTCTGATTTTAATGATTTTATACTATCTGACAGTTGATTCTCCTATAGTATTTTTTTTAAGTTAAGAAGTATTACTGCTTGACTCAACCTTTGAGTATTCAGAGATACAAACAAGGTTTATTCAAACGAGGGTAATTCAGAAAAATGGCTAAACCTCATTATTTTTAACCCCATTTTGAGGTCTAGGACTGTGTCGTGTTTCTCCTGTATTGCATTATCTTTCACAGAAGTACAGGTTCCTGGGATAGAAATGCTGAGCAGGTCACCTGTCACTCCCATCCCCTGCCTAACTACGGGGATTCCTTCATCCAGTTCCAGCGTTACTGTCCATTATGGCTAACGAGAGCAGCTCCTTTAAATTCCTGTAGTTAAGATACAGCTGAGACCTGTAACAGCCACAGGAACTTAAAAGCAGCAGCGCAGGGGGCTGACAGGTGCTGGTTTCCAGCTAACTCCTTCCAAGAAGAGCGTGCCCTCCTGCAGCACATTCCCAACTGCTTAGTTTGGGATGCGAGAAGGTGGTTGTGTGGGTGACGTGCCAAAAGTTCAGAGAAGAAAATGGTTCTCAGAGTGGAAAAGGAAACCAGGCTCTGTACAAGCGGTGCTTTTCTTCCCCAGAAATGTATCCTCTACTACATCCATGTGCTTGGAGCCTGCCTGACCTTCGGAGTAGGGGCCATTTACATGCTGGTTCAGACCGTCCTCTCCTACCTGATGCAGCCAGAACTTCACAGCAAAGACATCTTCTGGGTCCGTCTGTCCGTGTTCCTCTGGTGTTGCTCGAGCATTGTGAGCAGTATCCTTTGGCTGTGCAGTGTCACCGTGAGACGGAGCAGCCTTCACAAATGACAGTATTTGCATTTACAGTCATTTAACCCACCAGTGTGAAAGGCTGTGCCACAGAAGGCCCGTCATCTTTACAGGTACAGCTTGTATTGTGTTATTTATAGTCTGTATTGCAACCTGGGAACTTGAGGAAAAGGGAACCATCAGGTTAAGCCCACAAGTGAGTCACTGGATAATAAAAAAAAAGGTAAGAGGGATGGTTACCACCCTTTCTCCTCTCCTTTCCTTCTGCACACCAGGGACCAAAAATGACAAAATAAGAGTTTATCCCAAAGAAGTCTTACTGTAGATTATGAAAAATGGGGAGAAAGGGGAGTGTACTTAGAGATGGGTGGCTTTAATGGGGGGAAAAAAGCCAGGTAAGAAATAAAAATGTCTGATCCCTGGTGACAGGAACGCTGCAGCAAGTTTTATAGTTGGATACAATTAAAAGAGGAGTACAGAGAGAGAAAATCCTCCTAACCTGACCACGTGCAGCAGAGCTGCACTGTGCCAGCTGGCTCCCGGAGCAGGTCTGAAGTGCTGGTATTTGTCAGAGAGACAATTCAGGAGTGTATTGCCAGGGTTGAGCCAGAAAAGACATAACAGGCTCTGACCTCCCCTGCCCATCCTACAGCTGGAAAGACAAGACATTTCTGACGGCATTCCCTGCGCCCTTCCCTCGGCTCTGGAATCCATCAGTTCCCTTAACGTTGAATTCCATGTGCTGGAAGCAGCTGGGGGGTTTACAGAAATATGGGCAAACCCATCCAGAGAGAGAGGCCTTTTTCCTGCCCAGAGTCATTTAACAATCAGGAAACTGAACAGCAGCGGTTCCTCTGCTCACCCCGATGGACCTAAACATCGTATTTCAAAAATTATGACTCAGTTTTCTGTCAAACAGGACTACAACATGATAAAGCTTTCAAATTTACATTCCAAAGACACGAGCGCAAAAAATCATTGCTTAAATGCTGTCCCTTCTGCAGCTGAGTCAAGGCCACCGATTTAATCCCCACCAATTCCACTTATTTCCAGGCTGGCAGCCAAAACCAACGATGAACCGTCCGCCCCATTTCCCAGGGACGGAGCATCTCGCTGAGCACCCGTTCCTGCTACAGCAAGATTATACAATCTGTAACAGTCAGAGAAGAAGCAACAGTTGGGGCCCAGGCTCATTATCTCTAAAGAAGCGAGAAGGACCTTGACCTGCTGAGGAGACCTCACATAGAGCAAGGAGGTCACCTCTGAGCCTTGGAGAGCTGCCAGCCCTGGCAGGCATTTCTGGTGCTAGCAAAGAACAAGATTATCAGCTGTGAACAGCAAGGAGCCAAGTACAGTCAGGGAAGACTAAAATGCCACAAGTTAAAGAGTCTTTTACTGTTGCCAAAACCCCCATAAACCCAAAAATCTATTGAGGTTTTTAAACAGGCATGGTCTAACCAAAATTAGAGGGAAGTAGATACAGCTGTAGAAACGATATATACGTAGGTGTCTGTGGAAGGGGAAGGCAAGGGAAATTGTCAGAGTATTTTCTAAATTAAAAGCAATTAAATCAATGCAATTAGGGAAAGGAGGTACAGGAAAACAATGATACATACGTAGGTGTCTGTGGAAGGGGAAGAGAAGGGAAATTGTCAGAGTATTTTCTAAATTAACAGCAATTAAATCAATGCAATTAGGGAAAGGAGGTACAGGCAGAAGTCTGGCCATGGGTGCAATGGTTGTAACTGGTACTGGGGGACAGAAGGAAACCTAAAAATGCTCCTGATCCTCTGCAGGGAAACAGCAGAATTGCCATCACCCAAAGCGCAAAGCAGTTAATTACCCGCTCTGTAACGAGGGGAGGATGGCAGCCAGTTATTTTTGTATCACAATAATTAAATTCTTTCTACTGCAGTAGTAACTCAGGCAGGTAACTAACAGCTGCTAAAGCCGTACATTTTAATTAGCAGAGAATTGGGTATCTCGCCTTCAGACCAGTAACCAGAGCTCCCTGGACCACTCACATCAATTTTTTAATCAGCTTTGGAAGTCTGGGTTTTCAAAGACACGCTTGTGCCAGGAAGTTCAGCCTTGTTCACCACCAAAAATTAATCTTTCACATCAGGAGGCTCTTGATGTTTAATCTCATTAATGATTGAAGAAGTTAATCCTGTGAAAGTCAGATCTTCTATAGCTTAGTGCTCCGAGTGTCATTTATACAGGCAGCAGCACTGACACAGCGTCCCTTCCCTCGGCAAAATGGTGAAAAAGTGACATCTCAGTCACTCCAGAAGGAGCCCCGTTCTCTGATCAGTGGGAGTCATTGTCACCTGGGGTTTTCCCTTGATGAAGCACCGAAGCAGTCGTCAAACCCTGAGTGAGCTTCAAGGGAAACAGAAGAGCCAATAACCCTCTCTGCTGCAAAGGATACAGTGCTCCAGCCGTAACCCACGGGTGGAGAACTCAAGGTGGTTGAGAAGCTGAAAAACAAATCAGAGAGAGAGGTCTAGACACTATTAGCCTGGAAAATACCACTAAAAAAATATTCAAAATGCTAAGTGTTCACATTTGATCATGGTTTAAGTGCTTTCATAAGGATAGTGTTTGATCAAGGAAGTAAAACGTAAAAATACAGAGAACAAGGAGAACTGAGTTAGATTAGAATTAACCTTTTCATGTGACAGTAACTGGTCAGTTGGAACAACCCAGAAGCTGGAGGGGATGATGTGGCCCATGTCACCATCACTGCACGTCCTGCTGGGGACTCCTTGTGGGAAATGCACAGAGATCTCCTCACAGCCCAGAGCCAACCCTTGTGGGAAAGGCACAGAGATCTCCTCACAGCCCAGAGCCAAGGTGGAAATTTCCAGTTTGCCCATTCCTGCTCTTGAATCTTCCTTAACGTAATTCCTCCCAGTGTTTGTTTCCTCAGTTGTCCTGTACAGTGGTCTGTACGGAATGAATCTGGTGCAGAAGTTGCACTGGGACCCTCAGGAAAAAGTAAGTGGTTGAGTGGAGAAAATAAACAGAGAACAAAACCCAGCTACGTTACTTAGGGCTACAAACATGATGAGGGGCCTGGAGCATCTCTCTTAAGAGGAAAGACTGAAGGACTTGGGGCTTTTGAGTCTGGAGAAGAGAAGGCTGAGGGGGGATCTGATCAACACCTATAAATACTTGAAGGGTAGGTGTCAGGAGGATGGGGCCAGGATTTTTCAGTGGTGCCCAGGGACAGGACAAGAGGAAACGGGCACAAACTTGAACATGGGAAGTTCCATCTAAACATGAGGAGGAACTTGTGGGTGCTTTGAGGGTGGCAGAGCCCTGGCAGAGGCTGCCCAGGGAGGTGGTGGAGTATCCTTCTCTGGAGCCATTCAAAACCTTCCTGGACACGTTCCTGTGGGACCTGCTCTGGGTGACCCTCCTCTGGCAGGGGGTTGGACTGGATGATCTCCAGAGGTCCCTTCCAGCCCCATGTCATTCTGTTACTTGCAGTGACAAATGCACTCACTGCAGTTCTGTTCAGACTGGGACGGGAGAAGACAAGTTACCGGTTCAGCCATTATGCAGCTACTTGCCGAGTCCTGCTCTGAGCAAAACAGTTGCAGCTTCAAGCCTTGTTTTAAATTAATCTTCCCTCACGGGCAGTAATTGAATTGTCTTAATGAGTTCTCAAACCACCAGCCTGTCTGGTCTGTGCTGGCCAGCAATTCCCAGTCCCAGTTACACGGTGACTCTCCGTAACGGGTCTGGGGCACGGCCGGGTGCAGCGAGGCAGCTCCCAACTGGTGGGGACAGGAAGGTAGAAGTGACAGAGCTGCCACTAAAGGGGTCCCAAGTGGGACAAAGGGCCTGCAGGTCCCAACAGCTCTGCCCACATCCCCATCCTGTCCAGGAGGTGTGGACACTGACTGGGGGAAGCTCTATGCCGGCTGGTTTTGAGGGCTTTTCCCACCCTTCCCTTCATTTAAAGCTTAAGGAGCTTCTCAGGAGTCTCTTTACAGCCAAAGAAGGGCCTTGAACCTTACTCTTAGAATCATAGAATCATCTAGGTTGGAAGGGACCTTAAAGATCATCTAGTCCAACCAAAAACCTAACTCTGACAAAAAAAGAAATAAGAAATAAGCAATTAAAAAAACCCACTAAACCATATTCCTGAGGACCATATCAACCTGTCTTTTGAACACCTCCGGGGATGGTGCCTCAACCACTTCCCTGGGCAGCCTATTCCAATGCTGGATAACCCTTTCCATGAAGAAATGTTTCCTAATATCCAATCTAAACCTCCCCTGGTGCAACTTGAGGCCATTTCCCCTTGTCCTATCTCCTGGGACTTGGGAGACGAGACCAACCCCCACTTCTCTACACCCCCCCTTCAGGTAGTTATAGAGTACTATAAGGTCTCCCCTCAGCCTCCTCTTCTTCAGACTCCACAACCCCAGCTCCCTCAGCTGCTCCTCACAAGACTTACTCTCCAGACCCCTCACCAGCTTCGTTGCCCTTCTCTGGACCCGCTCCAGCACCTCAATGTCTTTTTTGTGGGAAGGGGCCCAAAACTGGACACAGTACTCGAGGTGAGGCCTCACCTTGCAAAAAGGTTTGGCTGTTGTTCACACCAAGCTCTTCAGTGAGTCCTCAGGTTTTGCCTGTGGATATTGAATTCCCAGTGGGGTCATCCCAGTCGCGTGGGGCAGGCGTTTTCCTGGTCATTCTCACTCTGCTGAGTTCAGCACTTCATTCCTAGAGACTCCAGAGAGCAGAGAAATTTTGCTCTCCCAAGGGAATAGCCCTGGATGCAGGATGCTGTACACAGGCCATCTTTCTGCCACTGCAGGTCCAAGAGGAGCTTCTCAAACTGATTAATTCCCCCCCCCCCTTCTCTCACACAGGGCTACACAGCGCACATCGTCAGCACCGTCTCCGAGTGGTCCTTGGCATTCTCCTTCCTCAGCTTTTTCCTCACCTATATCCGCGACTTTCAGGTAAAAATGAAGTTTATGTTCAGTGCTCTGCTTTGCCAAGCTCTAAATACCCTGGTATGATGCAGGATGGGCTGCCTTATGTTACCAGCCGTGAAGGCTGGAACACCTGGGGCTGATAACAACCTTATAACAGCCTTTGAGTACCTGAAGGTGGCTACAAGAGAGATGGAGAGGGACTCTTGATCAGGGAGGGGAGCCATAGGAGGAGGGGGAAGGGTTTGACACTGAAAAGAGTCGAGATTTAGATTAGATACTAGAAAGAAATTCTTTGCTGTGAGGGTGGTGCGACACAGAAACAGGATGGCCAGAGAAGCTGTGGCTGCCCCATCCCTGGAGGGGTTCAAGGGCAGGTTGGAGGGGGCTTTGGGCAACCTGGTCTCATTGAAGATGTCCCAGCCACTAGAAGGGATGGAACTGGATAAACTTTAAGGTCCATTCCAGCCCAAAATGTGCTGTGATTCTGTGGCGATTCCAGCCCTTCCCTGGGTTGGAGGGGACCTTTAAGTTCATCAAGACCAACCATCAACCCAACACCGACCAACCCACCACTGACCCGTGTCCCTCAGCAACAGCTTTTAGATCCCTCCAGGGATGGTATTTGGGGAGTGGAGCCACAGGACGAGGGGGAAGGGTTTTAAACCAAAACTTAGGAGACTGAGATGAGATGTGGGGCAGAAATCCTTTGGTGTGAGGGTGGTGAGAGCCTGGCCCAGGTTGCCCAGAGAAGCTGTGGCTGCCCCATCCCTGGAGGGGTTCAAGGGCAGGTTGGAGGGGGCTTGGAGCAACCTGATCTGGTGGGAGATGTCCCTGCCCAGGGCAGGGGGTGGGAACTGGATGATTTTTTAAGGTCCCTTCCAACTCTAACCATTCTGTGATGAGCATTAAACAGCCCTCTCTTCCTTGGGAGGGATCTACCCCGCTGCAGTGACACCCAGACTCCAGCATCTGACTGGCTTTAACCAGCTTCACCTGTGAGATCTGTCACAGTGTGGGGGCCCTTTGCTCTGGGATTGCAGAGCAGACGATGCAGATGGGCCAGGAGAACCTCATTGGAGTCAGGCTCATAGTCCTGGAGCTGATTTGCATTTCGGTTTTTCATCTGACCCTGAACCTGCCCACGCTGGGACAGCGACGAGCCCGAAAACCCGCTCACTCCCCTTTTCCTTCCTCTCTCCCCCACAGAAGATCTCGCTGCGGGCGGTTGCCAGTTTGCACGGACGGACCCTCTACAACACACCCCAGGGCTTCGCCACGGACGAGACGCTGCTGGTGGCGGGGAGCATCTAATGAAGGTGAAGAGAACACGTTCTCAGCATAACTCAGGAATTTAATAGCAATAACAGTTGATATTTCTAAGCATTTATTTTATATATAAAAAAAAAATTATGAGGTGATTGTACTGTACTTGACACGAAGGGCTTTGCTATTAACCCACAGCAATGCAAATCAGTATTGTAAACCAGCCTGTAACATTTCAGCACATGCCAATGTCATGAGAGACTAAATGAAGGTTATTAAAGAGCTGTGGCTCCTCCTCACTTCCTCCACACCCAGTTTAACCACCCTCATTCCCTGCCCTCCTCTCTCCAGTGTTCCTCAGGCCTAGTCCTTCAGGACACACAGAGCAGCCCAGCCCAGAGCCTGGCTTCAGCCTTGTCCTTCATTCCTACCGTGGGGCAGCTGGGGCTGAGCTGCACCAGAGAGGAAGGACCCCAAAGCCACCCCATCCCTTGAGCAACCCACAAGGAAAACGCTCTGAATTTCCTTCTTCCTTCCCTCCCTCCCTGCCCCCCTCTTCCTGGCGGTTTGGGTTGATGGACAGGTTCATCCAGGAGTCCATGTGCAGAGTGTCCTTATTGCACAAGTCAGGGAGGATTCAGAGTGCACAGCCTGTGTCCTGCTTGCCCAGGGGAAAGCACTGACTCCAAGAATCATGGAATTGTTTTGGTTGGAAGGGACCTTTCAGATCATCGAGTCCAACCATCAACCCAGCACAGCCCAAACCACCACTGACCCATGTCCCTCAGCACCACGTATGTCCGTCTTTTAGATACCTACCGGGAGGGTGACTCCACCACGTCCCTGGGCAGCCTGTTCCAATGTTTGACAGCCCTTTGGGTGAAGAAATTTTTCCCAATATCCATCCCAACCATCCCCTGGTACAACTTGAGTCCATTTCCTCTTGTCCCATCACCTGTTCCTTGGGAGAAGAGACCGACCCCCCCTGGCTACACCCTCCTTTCAGGGAGTTGGAGAGAACGAGAAGGTCTCCCCTCAGCCTCCTTTTCTCCAGGCTGAACACCCCCAGCTCCCTCAGCTGCTCCTCACACATTCTCCAGCCCCTTCTCCTTGTTCTCCAGACCCCTCACCAGCCTCATTGCCCTTCTCTGGACCCTCTCCAGCCTCTCAATGTCTTTTTTTTTTGTGGTGAGGGGCCCAAAACTGGACACAGCACTCGAGGTGGGGCCTCACCACTGCCCAGTCCAGGAGGATGGTCACTGCCCCAGTCCTGCTGGCTACACTGGTCCTAGTGCAGGCCAGGATGGTGGTGGCTTCTGGGCCACCTGGGCACACTGCACAAGTGTCCCTACAGCATCAGCACCGAGTGTGACAAATATCTTTGTAGTCTTGATGTCCCCAGTGCTTCCTTGAGACAGACCCAACCCAAGAGCCAGCTGCTCGTTCCTCCTGCTGCTTCCCAGTGCTGCCATGTTCTGGTTTGAGGGACCCACAACAATTTGTCATCATTCAGACAATTATTCTCTCACCTGACGACCCCTCCCCACCCGGGAAGAGGAACCGGAAAAAACAAGGAAACCCAAGGGTTGAAATATGAACAGAATTGATAGAATAAGATGAGAAAATTAACATTAATAGCAATAAAGAACCAATATTGATCCCAATATCAATATAAAACACACAAGGACTGTCCCCAGCCCATTCCACCTCAGGAAATGCCAGGAAATGTCCTCCCAGCAGGGACAGCCAGTGTGGGACACTGCGAGCGCTGCGGCTTCGGGAGGAAGGGAAGGGCTCAGGGCTCCAGCACCAGGGCAAGGAGTTCACAGAATCACAGAATCTTCTAGGTTGGAAGGGACCTTAAAGATCATCTTGTCCAACCGTCAACCCAACTGACAAAAAATAGACACCCACACAACAAACAAGGAGCATCATCACTAAACCAGACCTCCCAGCACTACATCAACCCGTCTTTTGAACACCTCCAGGGATGGGGCCTCAACCACCTCCCTGGGCAGCCCATTCCAATGGCTGAGTCCAGGGGACAAGGACTCCAGCCATCGAGGGAGAGAGGGAGAGAGGGAGAGAGAGAGAGAGAGAGAACTCCCCAGCAAACTTTCTAATTTATATTGAATGTGCAGCTCATGGTACAAAATAACCCTTGGGTCAAGTGCCCGGGTCTCGCTGCTTTTCATTCCTGCACCTGGGGAGCTGGAAAACACTGGGACCTTGAAACCCACACACAGGGCTGGCTGTAAAGTAAATATTATCAAAAATTAAGGCAGCAGAGTCTTCTAAAAGTGCAGTTTTCCCAAGTGTTAGAAATGAAATTAGCCCATTGTTGCTCAAACCAGGACACGTGGTGTCACCAGCCCCTGCCCAGACTTTGCAGCTCCTCAGGCTGCTCCAGAGCTGAGCTCCCCAGGGCATCGACACCCCGGCTGCGTCCCAGGGGGGTTACACCCCCTGTTCTCACAGGGACAACCTCCCACACACAATCATCATGTCCAGACCAAGCCAGAAGCCTTAAAAATACACATCTGATAAACTTTGGTAGAACTTGAGCAAAGTAATTTGATATGGGATTACAGACAGACCCACGGAATACGCTGTCCCCAGCTGCCTTTGAGCCCGACTTGGCAGGAGCAGCTCAGCTTCCTTCCCAAATTATTGCCCAAGTCTACACTGACATAAACTCCAACGTGTGTTTCCTCCCACACCAAAGCAGCTTATGCCATGTCTTCCCTTCCCTGGAGGGGCAGGCAAAGGACCAGGAGAGGGATTTCAGCTGGAGGCCTCCCGGTGATCCCAGCAGCTGCCCTGGGTGGCTTCATCCTCTTCATCCTCCCTGGTTAAAACTGGATGTCACCATCACAGCCGTGCTCTGTTCCTGCTTGAGGAACTGCTCAGACAGTTCAGGTGGTGAAAACAAGTGTCAGAGCCAAAAACCTGCCCAACCACCAAAGGCAGCGGGGTGAGAGGACACGTGGGTACGATTAACGGAGCCACAGAGACCCCCAGGGCTCCACAGCTCGGGGAAGATTTCCAAGTATTCCATTATAGCTGCTGATAAATCCCCAGGGATCGGGCCTCCCTGGAGAGTCCCACACGTGGCTACTCTGTAATGAGGCAACACGCTCTCCCCAGTTCCTGGTCAACTGCTACAGCCTTGAAAACATGAGGTTTCAGCTCACAGAAACCACTTTTCTGTGCTCCATTGAAGTCTCATCAGGCAAACGGCTTAACCAGGAGATCATCGCTCCAGTCACACGCTGCCCCAGGTCTGCAGAGCCCTGATCCCTGCGGGGAAGGAGGGACAGAGCCCTTCTCCTGCTACAGAAGGGGAGAAACAAAATCCTCATTCACACAGCTCCTCAGGAAGGCTCCAGTAGGACCCTGCCTTCTCCCAGGGCTTTGCTCTCCTCACCCTTGGTGTCTGGAGTCACTTCCCATCCCCTCCCTGTCCCACAGGAGCACAGGGAGGTTGTTCCTGACAACAGACATCAGAGATGCTGCCCCCAGGAACAATTCCTGCTCAGAAAGGTGCCTCTGCTGGGAGGGGGGGCTGAGAGAGCTGATCAGAAAGGTGCCTCTGCTGGGAGAGGGGGCTGAGAGAGTTGGGGGGTTCAGCCTGGAGAAGAGAAGGCTCCGGGGAGACCTTGGAGCCCCTTCCAGTCCTCAAGGGGCTCCAGGAAAGCTGGGAGGGGAGCCCTAGGGTGAGTGGGGACAGTTTTAAACTGAAAGAGGGGAGATGGAGCTGAGCTGTGGGGAAGAACTTGTTTGGTGGGAGGGTGGTGAGAGCCTGGCCCAGGTTGCCCCGAGAAGCTGTGGCTGCCCCATCCCTGGAGGGGTTCAAGGCCAGGTTAGAGGGGGCTTGGAGCAACCTGGTGTGGTGGGAGGTGTCCCTGCCCAGGGCAGGGGGTAGCACTGGGGGGGCTTTAAGGTCCCTTCCAACGAAATTTCTCCATAGCAGCAGCACTCTGAGGAGCCACCAGGACAGAGTGTGGGCAATCAGGACTCTGAGTTCTGGGAAGACTTTGAGTTCTACCTAAATCAGCACATTTCTGAGTTTGCAGTTAAAAACCCACCATCCTCCCAAACCACCCTCATGGCCCCCCCACCAGCTCAGCACCACTTGTTGGGTTTCTTGCTCATTTACAAATCCACAAAAGTCCAAGCTCAAAGCAGCAAACTCTTCTCTGTTTAACAACCCCCTCAATGCCAGGAAAACCCTCCTCCTTCCCTCTCACCCTGTTCCAAAGGGACCAGGATAAGCAGCACCCAGAACAGCTCCATACTCTTCATGGAATGCTCCAGAGATGCATCCCACACTGCATCACTACCTCTTTCTCCTCCTCTCCTCCAGCCCCACTGGCACAGAAGAGCTCTCCTGAGGGCTTGGCTAGGTGCTACCTCTCCTACTGAAGACTTTTGACGTCCAGTCCCCCTGCAGAAGCTGAGCACTATCAGACTGTGCTGGTTGAGGAAAGTTGGAAGATTCAATCACCCCAAGGATCTGTTTCCCCCACTGCTACAACAATTCCAGGTTCCTGAGGGCATTAGTATACCTTAATTGCCCCAATATCAGCCTCATCTGGGACCTCCTCCCATGCTTCCTGCCTGTGGCTCAGGAACTCCATTTAAGCCCAGGCTCCAACATCCAGTTCTGGCCTGAGTTGTGTTGTAGGTAGAGGTGCCTTCAGCTCTAACTCTGTTTTGTGGACAGACAGTAGACCTAGATAGTGGGTAAGTTTCCTTCAACATGATCTCCTCTATGGACCTTAGATGTGCAGTCAGTCCTATCTCCTGCTGCTCCTGACTGAACATCTTGGATGGACCCAGAACCTTGTTCATCATCTCACCTTGGGATACAAGCTTGGGGAAGAGTGGCTGGACCTGCCTGGTGGAAAAGGACCTGGGGGTGTTGGTCAACCCTTGGCTGAATACAAGCCAGCAGTGTGCCCAGGTGGCCAAGAAGGCTACCAGCATCCTGGCCTGTGTCAGGAGCAGTGTGGTGAGTAGGACCTGAGAGGTGATGGTCCCCCTGTACTGGGCACTGGTGAGGCCCCACCAAGTGTGTGTGGCCAGTTTTGGGCCCCTCACCACAAAAAAAAAAAAGACATTGACGGGCTGGAGCGGGTCCAGAAAAGGGCAACGGAGCTGGTGAGGGGTCTGGAGGACAAGGAGAAGGGGCTGGAGAACTTGTGAGGAGCAGCTGAGGGAGCTGGGGGTGTTCAGCCTGGAGAAAAGGAGGCTGAGGGGAGACCTTCTCGCTCTCTCCAA